CCGGCACCATGTCCATGCTGCCCACCTTCGGCTTCACGCAGGAGCAAGTGGCGTGCGTGTGCGAGGTGCTGCAGCAGGGCGGCAACATCGAGCGGCTGGGCCGCTTCCTGTGGTCGCTGCCCGCCTGCGAGCACCTCCACAAGAATGAAAGCGTGCTCAAGGCTAAGGCCGTGGTGGCCTTCCACCGCGGCAACTTCCGCGAGCTCTACAAGATCCTGGAGAGCCACCAGTTCTCGCCGCACAACCACGCCAAGCTGCAGCAGCTGTGGCTCAAGGCACACTACATCGAGGCGGAGAAGCTGCGCGGCCGACCCCTGGGCGCCGTGGGCAAATACCGCGTGCGCCGCAAATTCCCGCTGCCGCGCTCCATCTGGGACGGCGAGGAGACCAGCTACTGCTTCAAGGAAAAGAGTCGCAGCGTGCTGCGCGAGTGGTACGCGCACAACCCCTACCCTTCACCCCGCGAGAAGCGCGAGCTTGCGGAGGCCACGGGCCTCACCACCACACAGGTCAGCAACTGGTTCAAGAACCGGCGGCAGCGCGACCGGGCGGCCGAGGCCAAGGAAAGGTACGAGTAAGTAGACCTTCTTCGGCGCCGGCTCCCCGGGGCACAAGGGAGGGGTTCGCAGGGTTTCTGCCGGTTCCCCGAAGAGGCCTAAACTGGGCCCCCAGGCCCAGCCACAGCCCAGCTGCAGCCCGGTCTGACTCGGACGATGCTTAGGCCTTTCTATGCCGGAGACCCGGCGAGCAGGGATTTGTCTAAAGCGGGCAGAGCAATTCAGGAAGTTGTCAACTAACCACTCGGTCGCTACAGGAAAAGGGTGGAGAAGCAGAGAGCTTCGGGGCAGCGCAGGACTGTAGGCCTGGATCCCCTGTGAAGCAGGCACAGTAGGTCTGGTCATCCTCAGAACGGAGGGGTTTGGGCCCAGGTGAAAGCAGATTTTGCAGATTTCTTGCTGGTGGTGCTTCCCGGCATTTCCCCCCAGCCTTACTCAGCTCCAGACCAAAGTGTGATGGGGTTGGGACTGGGACTGGGACTGGAACTTCCCTAGTTTGACCTGGATGGGGAAAAGCCTGGCCATGAATTTTCCTTGTCAGATGTGGGAGTTGATAGCGGGTCCTTTATCCCCTTAGAAAGGACCCAGAGGTGAAAGGGAGGAAGTGTCAGTTCTGGGAGAGGAGACGCATGCCGTGTTTTCTGCCTTGCTAGAGATAGCCGCCCTTCCCTGGCGCGCCAGGCCCTTGATGCCTCTCTCCTTGGGCCCTACCTCTGATGGATAGGTCAGAATGTCTGCGGTGAGCTGAGAGCCACAGAGGGGCTGGGAGTTGGATGTCCTCAGGTAAACCAGGACTTCCTGAACCAGCCTAAAGGTTGATCATTAGGCCCTTGCCACTACCTGTCCTATAACCCCTCAGGACCCCAAATCTGGAGAGGAACTGATTATGGGAACAGAATCCAGACTGGGGTAAGAGGAGAACAGGACACCTGGGGTTGGTGATATGGGGTGTGTTCCACCCTGAGTTTGAATGATCAGGGTCAGAGGTGGGGGCGCTGAACCAGAAACATCTTAGGGGGAGTGCTGCACGCTCAGATACTCCCAGGTATCTGAGACCCTGAGGTTGGAGTATCCACAGTGGTGAGGTCTCAGCTGCCAGCCCTGTGGGAAGTTCCCTCCCACGAAAGCAGAAAGAAAAGCCCTCCTGGAAGCTGGTGACAAGAGATCATATCCAGGATTTTAAATATCCAAATCTGGGGAGGAGCTGTCAGTCAAAGGCGTAGAAGGAGGTGGGTTCTCTCTGCTGGGTCCCCCTCCATGCAAACTGGCATGTGTTCAGACTCCTGAAAACCTGGGTTCTCAGACCAGGCCCCAGATGAGAGCTGCAGATTCCCGGAGTGGCTGGTTACAATGGAAAAATCTCGGCCTTCTCCCAGGGGCTGCCCTTTATCCCCCAAGCTTCTGGTCCCCCAGCTGATGTTTTCACTGTACCACCATGGAAAGGGAGTCCTCCATCCTTGGACCCTTGTCTCTAGGCCCAGCATGGAGAGCCCTCACAGGGCTGCCCAGTTTGGAGCTACAGGGAAAGGACGCTTAGCCCCAGGATCCTATCTCCCAGCCAGGGGTCTCCCTCGGGCAGAAAAATCAAAGGAAAATGAAGGCTTGTGAGAGCCCCTAAATCCCTTGACCTGGGATCCAGGGTTCCTTAACCTCCTAGCCCCACGTCTACTCAGCAAACCTGGCTTGAGGAGCCTAGAGTGATCTGAAAATCCAGGCATCTTCTCCTCCTCCCTGTTCACCCCACAACTTCAGGGAACCCTGTTCCCCTGCCCCTCTGTTCCTGAAAAGAAATATTGGGAAGGAGGGAAAGAGGAAATACAGAAAAGATATTGATGAGATTGAGAGCATGAGAGGTGGGGACGATAAGGGGAGAGGGGCAAGAGAAATTGGGTGTTGAGAGATGAAGAGAATGGGCAGAAAGAACCCAGACCAGATCGAGGAAATGGTAGAAACCGAAAACACCCGCAGGCCACAAGCCTGGGATCTGTCTCCTGAGGCTGGTGGCTGGCTCTGACTGTGACTGAGATGGCTCTGGGTGGTCTCGATGTCCCTGCTGACCCTGCTGCTTTGCTCCCGCACTTGCAGGGAGAACAACGAGAACTCCAATTCTAACAGCCACAACCCGCTGAATGGCAGCGGCAAGTCGGTGTTAGGCAGCTCGGAGGACGAGAAGACTCCATCGGGGACGCCAGACCACTCATCCAGCCCGGCACTGCTGCTCAGCCCGCCGCCACCTGGGCTGCCGTCCCTGCACAGCCTGGGCCACCCTCCAGGACCCAGCGCAGTGCCAGTGCCGGTGCCAGGCGGAGGTGGAGCGGACCCACTGCAACACCACCATGGCCTGCAGGACTCCATCCTTAACCCCATGTCAGCCAACCTCGTGGACCTGGGCTCCTAGAACCCGTTTGCCTTGATGAGCTTGCCTTTTGTGGCTTGACACTGGGGACCTGAGAGTGGCAGTGTCCAGGGGCACCCCGCCCCTGCGGCCCCACCAGGTACTGAAAGACCTGTAGGCTGAGCGGGTAGAACAACCGGGTAGGGCGGATAGCTGTCTATGTTGGTCCTTGTTTGGGATTTATTTTCAACAAGTTACTTTTGGGATCCTTTTGGGGCTGGAGACTGGGTCTTAAACCACAGAAGGGAATAAATTATATACCACTGTCATTCTCTCTCTCCCTCTGTCTCTTCCTTTCTTTTCCCCTCTCTTGCCTTGCCTTTTCCCCCTTTCCTCTTCCTTTCCTTTTTCTGCTTTCTCTCCGTCTTTCTCCCTCTCTTTTTTCATTGCTTCTCTCTTTTCTTCTAGATTTCTGGCTTGCCACCGTTCACTCTCTCCTTCTGTCTCTCCCTTTCTCTCTCCCTCTCTGTTTCTCCCCTCTTCTCTCCTGCCAGTCTCTTGTACTCTGTGTCCTGGTCCCTCCATCTGTACCCCTGTCCTTCTCCTCCTGTCTGGTGGTCTATCTGCCCCTACCTCTGGCCCTCGCTTTACCGGAGTCGGCGGTGGGAGAGGGAAGAGGAGAGAAAAGAAAGGTCCTTTGAACCTAGGCCATCTCCAGAGGCCCTTTCCCTTACCCTTGTGGGTCAGTGGGAGCTGCAGGTGTCAGCTTTTCGCCTAGTAACTTAAGTGAGAGAGAAAGGGCAGCGCCACAGAAGCCCCTAAACGCCGCCTCGTCGTCCGCCCCTCGTCCTTCTCTCTTGGCGAGGCCCCGCCACACCGCTCTCTTCCTCCCGGGACTGTGGCCACAGCGCTCCCGGCTGAGCGCGCCTCCCTCCCCCCAGCCGCCGACTTGCCGTCTCCGCATAATGCCCTCATGTGAATGTTCTTCGGGAAATATTTCTGCTTTTATTTTATAATAAAATTAGAAATCATAAATATATAAATTGTTATATGCCACAAGGCCCGCGGGCCGGGAGTGCCTCAGTGTCTGATTTCCCTACCAAGACTCGACACCCTGGGTGGGCCGTTCTGGTTGGCGATGCTCTCTGGTGAGTCCCGAAAACAGCGAGACGCCTTCCCACACACACGACGTGTGTCAGTCGCTAGGTGAAGGCACCGAAATTCCTGAAACACCCCCCCCCCTTTTCCTGGCTAGGAAAACTCCCTGCAGAAGCGAGGGGCAGCCTGCTCCCCTCCCCACACCAGCGACGCGCAGAGCCCTTGCCAGCCTCTTTCTTCACCTCGAGGTCGAAGTGGAAGACGAGAGAGCTTGTGCCGAGGGCAGGTAGTGCCTTCGGGGATGCCAAAGCTGGGGAAGAAATTGGGCAGCAGAAGTTTCCTGCTGCGCGTACTCCGAGAGTTGCGGTCTGCGAGACTGGGCGCGATGCGCTGCGCGGATTTGCCAGTCCCAGGCTCAGACCCCCGGACCTAAGCTCCAAAGGCGCAGCCCCGGTGCTGCGTGTGGCCGTGGAGCAAAGGTCTTCGAGCTCGCAAACCTGCTTCTGTGGATTTGCAGTGGAACTGAAGGGTCAGGGAAGGAGGGAAATCGGACTCTGGGCGGCCAGGCCGGCGGGCGCCTCGGTTCTCCTGTTTCTCCCTTTCTCTGTCCCTCTCTGTTTCTCTCCTCTTCTCTCCTGCCAGTCTTTTGTACTGTGTGTCCTGGTCTCTCCATCTGTACCCCTGTCCTTCTCCTCCTGTCTGGTGATCTATCTGCCCCTACCTCAGCCCTCGCTTTCCGGGAGTGAGGGGTGGGAGAGGGAAGAGGAGAGAAAAGACAGGGGTCAGACCGAGCTGGCGGTTCCGGCTCCGCCCATGGGGCGCCTAGATGCTTCGGTGGCTATCAATTAACCTGCAGCGCCCCCTCCTCTCTGGAGTGCCAGCCCCCTGTTTAAACGACGCATCTGAGCCAGTCCGGGCAGATCCGGAGTGGGCAGGACTCCGAGAGGAAGACGTTGAGGCTTTCCCTTCTCGGGTCGCAGTGGCTGTAGGTACTCACCGCGTCCCTCCGCAACCAGGGTACCTCGGCTGGGTGGAAGGGAGGGGATGAGTTGCTCGTGGCACCCCGAGTTCCCAAAGCACTGTGTCCTCTAGGGGCTTTTCCTTTCAGCGTTTTCTGGTAAAACCGGGATAAAAGCAGAACACCCGTTCGCTTGGACTTTGTAAGCAACAAGAATTCCTTCCTAGTTGAGACTGGAGCGGCTGCAGGCTGTTAGGCCGGCTAACTTGGCGCGAGAGCCTGCACCTGGGTCTTGGATCTGTGCAGGCCTGGAGGTCAAGGGGCTACCCGAGAGGCTGGGACTGCACGGAGTGGCTGCAGTCCTCCGCCTGGGGTCGCACAATGTGCCCCTCCACCTTTGCACCCCAAGAGGAATTCCAGTCAAGGCAGCTCCTGCGGCCTCTACTGGAAGCTCTGCTCTCGCGGATAGCTCAGGTCCTCCCGGGTACTGGTCTGTGTTTCTAAGGCCTGAGTGGGCCCAACTTCTGCTGACTGACAGGGTGAATGGCAGGCTACTGCCTGAACGTCCCCAAAGACTCAAGAGATGCCTGAAGCCACCTTGGGACAGCCTAGCCAGTCACAGAGGACTTGGTGATGTCCCGTGAGGTGCCAGAGCCAACTCTTCTATGTACTTACTTCTAGGGAGGAAGCAAACAGTAGCCTCGTATCCTGTCTCACCCCTGCCCATCCCCCATTTTCCAATCTCACACTCACAGGAAAACAGGCTCTATACCAGCTTTCATAAGGATGGGAACATACACATTTAACATTAATGAAACTCAAGATTCTTGAGAGCCTGCTATGTGCCAGGCATGGTAGACAATACCAAATCCCCTCACCCTCTCACACAGCCACCACTCAGGGAAACACACAGACTCTGTCACACACATGTTCACCCCTGCACACATTAGCACAACGGACCCTCCGCCCATTTTCAGACACACAAACACATCCTCAGGCACTCTCCCACACTGATATATACGGGAGATACCTGCACAAATGAACCCTTCCTCATGCCTGTGCCTACACACACACACACACACACATACACATAATGCTTCTCCACAGAAGCACACAAATCCACAGCCACACACTGGTGCCCTGGCTAAGCAACCAGTCCCTGCCCATCAACCTGCTAGGACAAGACCCAGCTGTGCAGCATGGATTGCTGGGAAGGTCTTGACACCTGGCTGCTTGATCCCAGAGAAAGAGATGGTCCCAGGGCTGAGGTGGCAGCTGCTGAGGGATGCACCCCAGGCACTCTCTCAGCCAGCCCAGGTGGGATCTCAGGAGTCTGCCTGGAGTTTTCACCTGCCAGTAGGGGACGGGGTGCCAGTCCCAAGCTTTACTGTGGAAAACGAATCCCAGCATAGGGGTGCTACTTGTCACAACTCCCCTCTTTTCCTCCCTCTTGGAAAGCTAACCACAAAAATACTTAAATAAATAAAATTTTTTAAATGTTTAAACGGAGAGGCGGGTACTACGTGGAAGTTCTGAAAATAAATTTGAAAGCTACTCACCCACTGCATAAATCTACACAAGCTGGTCCTCAGTTCCTCACCTGGGAAGACCGAGCTGCTATCCTGACCTATTCGCACAGATGTTGCTTGGTGATGACAACCACTCCCTGTCCGGTGTCCCCACTGAGTAGGATTCCCAGTGGCTTGTCACCTTTCTGCCACCCTCCACCCCCCTCACCCTGTAGCAGTCACAGAAGCCACCAGTTTTGCTCCAGCCACCTCAAGTGACCAAGTGACTGGAAGTGCCCAATCTTGTTTTCTGCTTCTCTGACTGTGTTTGCTACAAGACACCCTTCATTTGTTCCCAACCAGGTCCCATGCCCATGGGGCCCTTCAGGGCAAACCCCATGAAGAAATAAAATCCAGCCCTAGGGGCAGCTGGCTAGACCAGAGAAGGGAAACCTGCTTGGGGTCATTAAAGCCCCGGGCTACAGGGGGCAGAGGAGAGTATGTGGAGCTTGCAGTGTATCCCTCCCCACCCCGACCCCAGAGCCCTGCTGACCCTCTCCAGGACTCAAATCCCTACCCCAAATTGTACCTTGAGGGAGTGATGCCTGCCTGGGGAGCAGGTGGTGACATCGCATTGCACCAGGAAAAGTTAAACAGAGCCAGGGCAATCTGGTGAGAGAACAGGGCTACTCAATGCTTGGTTATCTTTAGTCGTTGTACGAAATACAATTTTGGCGAATGAAAAAGGCAGGACCAGCATCCTGGGAATTTGGCCTCCACAACCCCCTAGGACCCATCTTCTGCCGAAATCCGCCAAGGCGCTGGGACAGAAGTAAATGTTTTTGTGAGGCATAGTTGAAGAAAAACCGAAGAGGAGAGGACTTTTGACTGGGCCCCTTCCTTTTTCATCGTGGTCCCATCCTAGCACTAAGACTTCAGTCCTCTGGGCCCTCAAAGCTGCCTAGGAAACGCTGGAGGGGCAGGTAGACACAGTGGGTGTGTACTGGAAGATGTGAGCTGACGTGAGAGAAAACGCGTGCACCGTGAGAGGGTGAAAAAACGCCCCGATGAGGGCCGAGGGGGCGGACGTGCACCTCGGGAGGGCGGCAGTGCTTTAGTACACAGGTGTAAGGGTGAGCCCAGAAGCCCAGGAGCCCATCAAGCGCCCGGCGGAGTCGGGAAAGTCAGGCTGAACCTCAGGGCTCAGGCACCTAAGTGAATGCGCCGGGGCTAGAGGAGGACCAGCCTCTGCATTCCTGCCGCCTGAACCCACCCCAGCGCGGGTTGGTGCTCATTCCTGGAGCCGCTGCCGGCGGCCGGCTGGTGAGCAGAAAGGAAAGGAGGAACTCCCGGTCGCAGCGATCGGGGACCAGGTGACTGAGCCGAGACTGGTCCTGAAAGACCTCGCGTCCAGGTGTCAGGGTCAAGGTTCCGAGCGACCTCGCGGGAGTCTCTTTTGGAAACTCCGCGGGTGCCTGTGCGGCTGGAACTCGGAAAGGGTTTCTCCTGGGTTGCAGGATGGAATCGGAGTGCGGAGAGGCAGATTGGGTGCCCTCGGATGGGGTGTCTTCCACGCCGTTTCCCCACAATCTCGGAGGCAGGGCAGCTCCCTCGCCTGGCAGATGCCCGCCCCAGGCCGCCCTGCAGTGGACAAAGTCTCTGTAACACCGCTGGCGATGGGTCCGAAGAAGGCCTGTCGCCTCGCCAGACCCCAGAGACGTCCCCAGCTGCCCTAGAGAACTCTTTCTTGGAAGGACCCACAAATCGGAGAGGCTGGTACAAAGGCGGACATGAGGCTAAATCAAGAGCTAGCAGCGGCCCAGCCTACCCTGAGCACGAAGCGCGTCCTCCCTCCCTAAGTACCGGGTACCGACCTCATCGCAGGCCGGCTCCGGGAGGGATACAGGGCTCCGCCTGCTCTAGGCGACCTAGGCCTCCAAAGACCACAGTGCCGCAACTCCCACTTTCCCCGGCGAGGGCCGCTTTCCAGGGAGAGTAACTAACGCACTGCTCGGGGTAATGCGAGGTTCTGGGCCCTGAGGTCAGGGGAGCTTGGGACCTTAGGACTGGTCAGCCCGATTCCCTTCGCCCGTTGAGCCGACGGCCTGGCCGTAGGACAGAGGTTGGGACCCAGGACACTTGAGCCGCCCCGCGGGCGACAAAGCCATCTGCAACTCTGTCATTCCCGTAGCCCTTAGGCTCAGAAGACTCCACCACTGCCGATCCAGGGCCCCCAGGCCGACATCCAGGATTCTGTGGTCCCGCGGGGGAGCGCTGTCTGGGCTGCTCCAGCCCGAGAGTCAGATTTAAGCTACTCGAGATCGTCTAAAGAGTAACCGGTCTGTGGGGCAGGAGGGTAAGAGCAGCCGCAGGGCGGACCTTTCAGAGCGGCCAGCCCTCGATTTCCTTCCTCCAGGGCTTGACCAAGAACCCCTGTCTGTCCGCCCAGCAAGGTGCTCTCACTTGCTCAAAAGCTCATTGTCAGCAGGAATTTTCCCAGTAATTTGCCATGGGCCATAAAGACACTGCTCATTGGTGACTTCTGGACCCCCAGAGTAACAGATAGTGACTACCATTTCTTTCTTTTTTGTTAGAAATAGGGTCTTGCTCTATTGCCCAGGCTGAGGTGCAGTGGGTGCAATCATAGCTCACTCAAACTCCTGGGCTCAAATGATCCACCCTGCCTCAGTCTCCCCAGTAGCTAGGACTACTGGCGCGTGACCACGCTTGGCTAATTTTTTTAGTTTTTGTAGAGATGGGGTCTCCTTACATTGCCTACCCTGATCTTGAACTCCTGGGCTCAAACAATCCTCCTGCCGGCCTCCCAAAGTGCTGGGATTATGAGGGTGAGCCACTGCACCTGGACTATAACTACCATTTATTGAACATATACTATGTGCATAGAGCACTTTAAACACCTGGTATCTGTTTAATTCTCACAGACCCCATACAAATAAATTATTATTACCAGTATAAGAAATGAAGGTGCCAGGTTCAGGAACTTGCTGGAGTTACACACTAATTACAGCAGCAGGGCGGGCATTTGAACTCAGTCTCAGACTTTGCAGCCACTTTCTTCCCAGCATGCTGACTGCCTGTGAGTGAGCCCAGTACTTGAGATTGGACCCTCACATGGTCCAGGAGCTCTGGATAGCAGGGAGCTATCACCATGTGGTGACTCACGGGGCGATGGCGGTGGGGGGATCGGACAGCTCTTAGGTGTGGGGAGAGAACACAGGGCTACTCAATCCTCAGTCCTTATAGGAAATACAGTTTTGGCCAATGAAAAAGGCAAGGACCAGCAGCTCCGGGGCCATGTGAAATGTAGACCGAGTGGTGGTAACAGAACTCACAGCCTCAGTGATCAGCTTAAATAGCTTAAATCCTGTGAAAGAGTTTATATCCTCAACAATTGACAAAATTACTGTTTCCTCACTTGCCCTCTACTGTGTAGATGTGACTCACGGTCCAGCAGCCCAGAGGTGGTTTCTACCAGTGCTGGCTATTCCAGAGTAAAGGTAGAACCATGGAACCCCAGAGGCAGCCTGCTGCTGTCTCCCTCTTTGCCCTCCTTCTTCAACCCCTGCCTGGTCTCAGCCACTCAGCTCAGGAAGATGAGGCTGAGGCTGATACAAGGACCCTGAGGGCTGAGACATTAGTCCTTGTGGGATGTCCTCCTCGCCCCACCGTACCCTATTAATCCCACACTGGTGGGTTGGGGGCAAAGCTCACTCTCTGGGGGCCATTATATTAAAGCATCATTCCAGTCACTCTGGTTTACCACTGCAGAGCAAGGAGGCCAGGGAGGGAGGAGGAACCCAGACCCTGCTCTCTAAAGACCAGAACAGAGCTGGCCATCTCTGCTCCCCCAACCTCACACAGGCCCCACTGGAAGCCCTCATCCCCTTCTCCACCTGCAGAGATATTGGTGGTACAAGCTCTCTGATTTCACCAGAGCTAGATGATTCTATCAGTTTTAAAATAAAGTGTATGAAATAGGCTATTGTCCTGTGAGGCAAAGCTTTTGGTGACCCGGGAAAGCCACTATGAACTGATGAAGGAGGTCACCCATTCCAAGTCTAGGGAAGTGAGCTAAACTTAAGGAGATAAACCCAGAAGTGTGAGTACTCCTCCTATTTCCTTCCCAGGGAAGAGCCCTGGCCCTGATGGGGTGGGGAAGGTGGCCAGAGGGAATTAGAAAAGCAGAGAAGGTGAAGCTGAATCGTTTCTAAAAGCAAAGCAATATGAATAGCTCCTAGCATTCTTTATATGGTACTTTGAAGAATTTCAATGGTTTTACAAAATTCTCATTACTTAATATTCAAATTATGTAGGTAGGCAGGAAAGTAATTCTGATCCACGTTTGGCAGATGAGGAACTGAGGCTCAAGATGTTACGTGTGCCTCTCCTGAGGTCCTAGAGCTAATGGAGGCTCTTTCTTCTACACCCTATTGTTGAGGTGACTTGTTAGGTTTTGGGGAAAGAACAGATACCAAACCAGCCCAACAAATAAAGATTGCTCCCCTGGGATTGGGGGAAGGATGTGGAGAGATGGCAGCCACCATGGAGGTCTAGATGATGCCACAGAGACTTAAAGTATCTCAAAATCAGAACAGTCTGCCTCTGAAATAACTAAAAGGAATGCCTCAGGCCATTTCCATACAAGGGAAGCTTGGGGAAGTGGATAGAACTGAGAACCAGAGCTTTGTTCTGTCACTGGACTCGAGACCTGTCAGTTAAAGCTTTCAGCCAATGAGCTTGGAGCCAGAGATTTTCTTAGAAGGCGAAAGTTTTGTAGGTGATGCCCAAAGAGCTATAGGTTTTGTAACTGGAGAAAACAAGAAGGGACTCAAGGCTTTTGTTTAATCTGAAAGCCTAGACCCTGATTAGACCCTGATGTTGGTCTGGAGCCTTAGGTGTAGAAGTCAAGAATCACTTTTTTTTTTTTTTTTTTTTTTAAGGCAGAGTCTCACTCTGTCGCCCAGGCTGGAGTGTAGTGGTGCAATCTCGGCTCACTGCAACCTCCACCACCTCCTGGGTTCAAACAATTCTCCTGCCTCAGGCCCCTGAGTAGCTGGGATTATAGGCATGCACCACCACGCTCAACTAATTTTTATGTTTTTAGTAGAGATGGGATTTCACCATGTTAGTCAGGCTGGTCTCGAACTCCTGACCTCAGGTGATCCGCCCATCTCCACCTCCCAAAGTGCTGGGATTACAGGTGTGAGCCACCGTGCCCAGCTGAGAATCACTCTATAATGTATTTATTATTCCTTAAAGGAGTAGGTAAATCAATTGCCCTGAAAGGCGAATAATATCCAATGGCAATGGGAAGGGAATTAGGGACAAAGAATGAGTGAAGATCAGAGTGATGACAAAGGGTGAAGGAGGTGAGAGTCCAGGATATCTGGAGCCAAGACACAAACTTGGAGTCAGGCAGGTGTTAGCCGGCAGCACCTTCCTCCCTAGAGACCAGGAAGGAGCCAGGGAAGGCACAAACGTGTAGCACCACATCCCCTAGAGACAACTAAGATGTGTTGGGCACCAAACCAGAGACCAGGAAAGACTAAAATCCCACCATACCTAGTAGCACGTCAACAAAATCCTATCTAGAACTCAAAATCTGCCCAACACAGGTCAGCTTCCAACCCAGATGCAGCTGAGGCAAAGAACAGGAAAAGAGACTACATAAGGTGTCACTGTAACAAATAAATTGCAAAACATAAGCTTATTTATCACCCACCCAAAAGTTTAAAGGAGTGCTTCCGGTCAGCAGGTGGCTTCCCACAGGGAGATTCGAGGACCCAGGCTTTTATATCAAATGGTTCCATCCTCACCTATGACCTTAGAATCCTTTGCACTTAGTTACTGGATAAGTAAGGAGTGTGGAGGACAGGCATGGGAGGTGTGAGGTTGGGGCCAGTTTAGAAGTGGTACACTTTACTCTTTTTTTTTTTTTTTTTTTTTTTAAACAAAGAATCAACTTTATTGAACATTCAGGGTCAATGTCTCTTCTTGCTCTTGCCTGTGACCTTGGCTGGTGTGAGGACTGGAGCTGCTGCCTGATGCAGAGTGGAGGAGATCTTGTTAATGTAGCACAGACCAACCACGGAGAAGATGAAGCAGGTGGTGACACAGACTCAGTGGATGAGGCCAGATGCAAAGACAGCCAACAGAAGGAACAGGAGAATCTCAGGGGAGGTCTTTGCTTGGGATCCTTTGCCAAACACAAGAGTCTCCAGAATCTTGAAGGCAGTGAGGGAGAACACGAAGAGACGTGAGCCAAGCAGGCCGTCCTGGATGGTAAGCCACTCGGTGGAGGCCAGCTGATGGCTGCACATCTGCATCCCAGTGAAGAGCGGCAGGGACAGGAGGGAGGAGATCGCCAGTGAGGTGCCTGTACCCACCACCATCATGCCCTGCATGTGGGTCAAATCGTCGCCTCTGGCCAAGAAAAGGGCACTTTTATTCAACTGGCTGGAGCTTAGTCACATGACCAGCCAACTGCAAGGGAAACTGGAAAATGGAGCTACCTGTGTGACCAAGGAAAAACATCCCAGGAAAAGGATTTACTGAGTGTGTATGAAATGTTAGTCAGTTCTCAGTGATTTTAGAACAGAAGCAACTGTGCTCTGTAAATTTCCTTTTTCTATGCATGTGTAGTTATTGGAGTTGCTGTTTTTACTATCATGGTGTTTGCACAGTGTTTGGGGGATTGTATTTTGTTTGTTTTGCTTTGGGGTGGGTTTTTTTTTTTCTTATCTTGCTTTTTCTGTAGTGAAGAATGTACGTAGAGGTACTGCATGAGATCCAATTCCTACAAGTGACCACAAGTCATTTCATTTCCTCATTGTTGCATAGTATAATAATTTGGGCAAGTTGCAGCTGGAAGTAATTTTTTTAGAAAAACCCTAATGAGAGGTCTCAAGCAAAATAGAAGATTCTTTCTCCCACACATTAAAGTCTAGGTAGGCAATCTAGGCTTGGTGCAAAGTCAAGCTCCTCCTACTTAGTTGCTCCACTGTGTATAACCTCAATCTCATGTCCCAAGACGGCACTAGGAAGGACTGAAGAAAAAGGTAAAGTCACATGCAGTGTCTCTTAAGTAAGATTCCTAGAAGCTGCTATAAAACATCCCATTGTCCAGAACCTAGCCACACGATCACACTACACTTACAGGAAGACTGTGAAATATGGGCTTTATCTGGGACAACCATGTATTAATACAACTAAAGTCCAGCAGTTCTATTGCTGAAGAAGGAAAGAACATTGTGTCTGAACTCATTGGGAACTGAACTTGGTTATCTCCAAGGACCTTTACTGATGTTCTGAGTTTCTATAAAACCAATAACACAAACAACAAAAACAATAGCAAATTGTAAATTTTTAAAAGTTGCTTAAAAAAACAGTACTACGGCTGGGCGCGGTGGCTCAAGCCTGTAATCCCAGCACTTTGGGAGGCCAAGACGGGCGGATCACGAGGTCAGGAGATTGAGACCATCCTGGGTAACACGGTGAAACCCTGTCTCTACTAAAAAATACAAAAAACTAGCCGGGCGAGGTGGTGGGCGCCTGTAGTCCCAGCTACTCAGGAGGCTGAGGCAGGAGAATGGCGTAAACCCGGGAGGCGGAGTTTGCAGTGAGCTGAGATCCGGCCACTGCACTCCAGCCTGGGCGACAGGGCGAGGCCTCGTCCAAGAAAAAAAAAAAAAAAAAAAAAAAAAAAACAGCACTACAGCAATTTGTTAACAATAACCCATGGCTAATTTATTTGTAAAGTTTAAAATCACATCAAAAATAATATCTCCAAATATATATAATATAGCTTCAGAATTCTATCCACTGAATTTCCTTAGAGTGAGACAATTGTTAATTATTTTCCCATACATTCATGTGACAATATTTTCTGCAAATGTGGAGAAATATTGGGGGGATCTGTAACCTCTTTCATTGCTAATAAAACAGTAAAGTCTGCAGAAAAATTCCTGTTAACTAGCTGTGCACCCATGGAAAAATCACCCCACTCCTTCATTCATTTATTCAACCTTTCCCTTGTTTTTCTATCCCGTAACTTAATAAATATTTTCTAAGTACTTGTCTGCTCAGTACCAGATATGAGGAAATAAACATCATTTTTCCATCTTCACTGGAAACAACTATAGCCTAGCATATGGCTGACTAACTACATGACCTTTCCCAGCCTCTTTTGCTGTTAAGTGTGGCCCTAGGACCATGTTTTTTCTAAAGAAATGTGAGTGGACACAATGTGAGCCACTTCAAGACCCAGCCCGTAAGATCTCCAACCTGTGCTTCCCCATACTGTTTTTCCCTTTTCATTTCCTTGTTGAATGGCAAAAACCAGAGTCACCTTGGAAGTCATGCTTTGAAAATGGCAGCGCTATCGTTAGCCTGGGTCCCTAAATTACTACATGGAGTAGAGAACTGAGTGACCCCCCTCCCGCAACCTGGCATAGCTGTCCCAGATAAAGGACAAACTGCTTTTGTGTTTGAGCCAACATGTTTTGGGATCTATTTGCTACAGTAATTTAGTCTAATTCAATTCCAAAGTATCACCAACCCCAGTAGGCACCATTCACACTGTGCTTTATCTGCCCCTGGAGCACAACAGCCAAATTAATAAACTAGATAAATGTGATGTGCATTCTAGGCAGAGAGTCTCCAACGTAGATAGCTGACTGGGTCTGTGTCCTCATTTACAAAGTGGAAAGGCATCCTTTGCAACTCTAACATGTGTGATTCTCTGGAATAGATCACAGCAGGCAGCAGACTCTAAAAGAGTAAACTCTTCTGGAGTCAATGCTTTCAATGAGAATGTTCTTTTCCTGAAAGCCAGAGAGGGTAGCAGCCTGTCAAAGAGTCCTAGGAATTCTTTTCTTCATGATCGATGGAAATGGGGGAGTGGGGTAAAGAGGAAGTGGGTATAGGGAGAGATCAACTGAGGCCAACACTTAAGGCTAATGGAAAAGATGAAATTCTGATTTACTCACAGAGCAACCTGCACACATCTCCCATTTTTATCTCATGGAGAGAGCACTAGATGGAAACCAGGAGGTCTGGAATTTTACCTCCATCTTCACCTTCCTGTGCAACCTTAAGCAAGTCAGCAAACTCTGTGACCTTCAGTTCCCTGATAATAATGGGAAAGAGGACTATCATAGCCTCTTATTTCATAGATGTGACAGAGGAAATATGATCACCATGGAAAGCAACCTAAAATCTTTGGAAGAAAGACCTTGAGAATGATCACATGGATAAAAGCATTGGTCCTTTAGAAGTCACATAAGTAGAGCAGTGCTCACACTAACACGCTAAATGCTGGGTTGGAGGATAATTAGTTAAACCTACTGTCTTTGAACTGCTGTGCTGGGATTTTAAAATGAGTTTTTTGGGGAAAATCCTCCAGTTTAATGGTAGTGAAAATGGCAGAAAAAGGAATTCCCAAAGCCCACTCTTCCATAAAGGCAAGTTTTTTAATTAGCAAAAACTGTCAGAATCAACCTTTCTAAAACTCTGGAAACTAGATAAAAGCTTGCAGCAACTCAGGTAGCACTTATTCAAGAAGCCAGCTGAATCTCAGTAAGAACAAACAGCTTTGTGGCCTTTTGACTTACCCCTAGTCCCATCCCATGCTCACCAACTCAGCAGTAGCCTTGAAAATAATAATCCACATCTTCAGAACTAATTCAGGAGGGAGCAGACGGACCTCATTTACAAACTGTCCTTAGCTGATGGTGGTGGCTCCCGGAAGTCCTGTTGAAAAGATTTGATTTTATCTTGTCAGCCTGACTAAAAGTTGCCTTATGCCAAAGTCACTACCAAAGGGCATTTATCAATAACAGTTACAGGCAAATGTTTTAGTCTCTGCTGCCTGAGGCAATGGATAACAGTTGGGCACACAATAGAGTGACCCAAAAGCTTGGGAGGAAAGGCTGAGGAGTAAGATGCCTTGGGAAATAAGAGCTTTGTAAAGATTCAATATATTCTTGGGAATCTAGAAGACCACCCAGAGTTGTGTGCGTGCCCAGATAAGACCTGAGGAGGCTCTAAGCTCTTATCTCTGGTTGACCTTGAGGCTGTGCACAAGCAGAATGTAAAGGCAGTGTTGTTAAATTTCTATCTGAGTGTTGAAGACATGCCCAACATACACACCTAATCCTTCTGCAAAGACTGGGTGTTTTTGTCGTTGCTAGTGTTCCAAGTGTTTAAGGAAATCTCTGTCTAATTAGCTGACTACTAAGCTAATGGAACAGAGACTTCAGTGGCCACATATGACAAAGAATACAGAATTTACTAAATTAGTTTAGAAAAGTCACTGAGCAAACAGCAACAATAGCAAATGCTAGAGAGAGGGTAAAATCTGATTTCCAGAGTTGCCACATAATATTCAAAGTATCCAGTTTTAATAAAAAATTACAAGGCACATAAAGAAATAAGAAAAATTTCCCATACACAGAAAAAATAGAATCAATAGAAACTGACCCTGAAGAAGCCCATACATTGGACTTACTAGATAAGGACTTTGAGATCAGTTCAAAGAACTAAAGGAAACTATGTTTAAAGAACTAAAGGAGGCCAGGGACAGTGGCTCATGCCTATAATCCTAGCACTTTGGAAGCATTGCTTGAACCCAGGAGTTTGAGACCAGTCTGGGCAACATAGTGAGGCTTCAGCTCTATAAAAATAAACAAATGAATAAATAAACTTTTTTTAAAAGAAGAACTACAGGAAAGCATGAGAATGATGTATCACCAAAATAGAAAATAGCAATAAAGAAATAGAAACTATAAAAAGGAACTAAATCGAAATTCTGGAGTTGGCCGGGCGTGCATGCCTGTAATCCCAGCACTTTGGGAGGCCGAGGTGGGTGGACCATCTGAGGTCAGGAGTTCAAGAGCAACCTGGCCAACATGGTGAAACCCCGTCTCTACTAAAAATATAAAAAATTAGCTGGGCATGGTGGTGGGCACCTGTAATCCCAGCTACTCAGGAGGCTGATGGCAGAAGAATTGCTTGAACCCAGGAGGCAGAGGTTGCAGTGAGCCGAGATGGCGCCACCGCACTCTGACCTGGGCAACAAGAGCAAAACTCTGTCAAAAAAAAAAAAAAGAAAGTCTGAAGTTGAAAAATGCAGTAACTGAAAAGTTTTGCTAGAGGAATACAGCAGAAGATTTGATCTGGCAGACAAAGGAATGAGCAAACTTAAAGATAGGTCAGTTGAGATTATGTAGTCTAAGCAACAGAAAGGAAAAAGAAAGAAGAAAAATTAACAGAACCTATGAGATCTGTGCGACATCATCGAGCATACCAGCATAAGCATAATGATAGTCCCAGAAGGAGAGAAGAGAAAGAAAGGGAAAGAAGGAAAAGAACATTTGATGAAATAATGAACAAAAACTTCCCAAATTTGAAGAAAAGCATAAATGTACATATCCAAGAAACTCAATAAATTCCAAGCAGGAAAA